AAATAACCAGAGAAGGGATAATGCCTTCTTCTCGAGTCTTTCCCCTGAATCTATACAGCAGCAGAGCAATGATTTAAACTCCACGCTTAATCCCATATTGTGTCTGCTGGGTATTTGGTTTGGAAAAAGGCAGATGTGGAGGCATCCTATCCAAAGGGGACAGTTCCCTGCTCTGTGATGACCACGGGGGCAGCATGAGTTCCCCGTGGAAGCCATTCATCCTGCAGGAGAAATGGTCCCCACTGTAAAAGGCAGCTAGTGATCCACCTGTGAGCAGAACAGGAAGGAACCAGCCAGTTTTGCATACCAACTTTTGACCTGATTTGCCTTCCATTAAAATCAGTTCACTCAAAGCTTCCCCTACCTTCAGTCGAGTAAAAGGGCTGAGTTGATAGCATAGTTTGTGTAACATGAAAATGTGATATTAATTTCCCTACTCTCCTTTTTAGAATTTCAGTCATTCTGGGAACCTGTGTTTCTTTCAACGGATAGCACAGATTTACAAAAAGATACATTAAGGCATAGTTATTAGTGTTACGAAAAAATTTTAGTATAACCTAACCACACAACACCAGATTTTCTTTAGGTAATATACTCTCTAAATGCATTGAAACTGTAATTCCCAAAAACTCTTTGGGAAGACAAGGGTAAAGGATGTTATTGTCTGACATCCATTCCCTACCTGTCTTTCCCCAACAGTCCTGGAATTTCCCAGCCATGTAGTTTGCCTGGAATTGGTTCCATCTCCCAGATCCAGGAGTGGGCTCCAATAGGCTGAATCTATCATAATGAGCCATCCTCCTAACCACATTGATTGGTTCAAGAATGAGCACCTGGCCACAATCAGTTAGGGGCTTTAGGTTAAGCATTGGAGAAACAGTGCCTTCCAGCTGGATATAAAAGGGCAAGCAGGTTGCACTGGAAGCTTCTATCTGTTTTGGGATCAGGAGGGAAGGGTCTACCTGGTCACAGAGCCACCAAGCACCAAAACAACAGAGCTGAGAGGTGGAGAGGTAGAGAAACTGGGTCCTAGTCAGTGTTGCAAAATGGTAAGCCTCATTTTGGGAAATCCCCTTCATGAATTAAGAAAAAAAAAATTGCGATTCTGAGACAATTTGGGTTAGGTTTTCCTGTTACTTGCAACCAAGACATTTTAACTAATGAAAAAATCTACTGTGTAAAGGGTCATACACGTCTAAAACTTTTCACTGATCATTTAGACTTGGAGTTTTGTTTCATAATGAAACCTCATGAAGAACCACAAGATGCTGACAATACCCATAAGAGGTATGCAGAAAGGAAACAGGTTCTTTCCTTCACTTGGGAGCTTTTTTCTTTTCCTCTCCTCTGCCCCCTCTCTTCCTCTCCTCTCCTCTCTCTCCTCTTTTCTTCGAAAGGAAACACTTGGGTAACTATTAGACTGAAGCCAAGTGCACTAAGACTGCATTAGTTCTGTAAGAGGGTGCTGAGAATCTCACAATGTCAAGTGTGTGGTGTCTAATGTGCTAGCAATTAGATTTCCCTTCCTTTTGTAGGTAATACACACCATGACCTCCTAAATAGCCATCATTATCTGCCATTATTATCTAGTGAAGGAAACATAATCAGCCTTAATTCCCCACCTGCTAGGTGAGCCTTGGGCAAATATCAGTGCCATATACAGCTCTCTTCAGAATTGTGAGACCCATTTTTCAATCCTCTTTGTATCCCTTATCACAGAGCAAATATTTGAAACTGTCCATGATGCTGTTGCTAATGGAATTATTTTGGTATCTGGTTAAATCCAATTTGGCACATATCTGGTATATAGTACATGGCAGAATAATCCTTTATCCACATCACCACTCCCTACCCCCTGTCAATATATGGGGTGCTGGGCAGTTGCACTGGACCTTGCCCCAATCATTCAGCAGTTAGATTTCAGTAAGTCTGTGTAACCATAACCAGCTGTGCTAAGTTCTTGAGCCAGAACTAGCCCCACAAAGATTGCTTTGATTCTGCCCACCCCTCCTGCCATTGTTAGCTATAGGGCCCCAGGTACAAATTGTTAACAGTGCCCATGGTGCCATCAATATCTTGACTTTTTTCTCTCTTTTCAGTAATAGGGACAGAGAGAACTGTGCTGGGCTGCCTGTTCTAGTTGGGGTAGTACAGGCTACCTGCTAAGCTTGGTATTACTCTCTTGGCTTACCTCCCTTGTTGACTAGATTGTTTCAGCGATTTGGAGGTGGATGATTCCACAGATCCAAAGTTCAGGCAGCTTGTGAGCGCTGGGCATGTTGTCAGCGCCCATTACCAATGGCAATGTGTGGCCAGGGTTCCCTCTCTGGCAAGAGCCCCTTGTGAGCCACGTGGCCAGTATAGTACTTGCATTAGAGGGCCCTGCCCATCAAAACATGCACATACATATATTTATTAAAGAACACACGGGCACCTCTGTCACTAGGGATCTGGCACTCAGTGCTGGCTTAGTGGAACCTGTAACACTCAGCATCCATTGTAGGTTTAACACTGTTCAAACCCCAGAGGAATGCTCCTTGCCTCATGCTCAATGTCCTAAAAACAAAAGTTACAGCTTCTGAATGCCACGAAGGTCTGTAGTGCTGATGATACTTGAACACTATTTTAAATCCAAGGTTGCTTGGATTAAAAAAAATAAAAAGGTCAATTTGTCAAATCCTTCTCAGATTGCATGAATGCAATGATTCCTGCATTGCAGCGTGGTGTTTCCCAGGGGTGAGAATCATCCATTTTCTTGCTTCTTTTGGTGATCCAATTTGTGGCATGAATTAGCATGGTTTTGTAACAGTTACATACATAATAGCTAAGAAGGAATAGCAATCCACATTACTTTTATTTTAATTTTTTGTTAATCCCCACTGGAGGATTTTTCCATTGACTTTTCTAGAGAGAGTGGAAGGAAGGGAGGAAGGGGGAGGGGGGGAGGAGAGAGGCAGAGAGAGAGAGAGAGAGAGAGAGAGAGAGAGAAACATCAATTGGCTGCCTCCCCAATTCCCCTGACCAGAGGGGATGGAACCTGCAACCTAGGTAGGTTCACTAGACGGAGAATGGTCCTGAGACACTTCAGTGTGTGGCCCCACATTCTAACCACTGAGCCACACCAGCAGGGCAATCCACATTACTTTTACATTTGGATGTATGAATGTTGGGAATACTGTATGGATTTAGATATTTGTATAAGAGATGGCACAAATCACAAAATAAATTATAGCAATTTATGTGATAAAATTATATTAATTTGTGCCCATCTGGTGTGACTCAGTGGTTTGTGTGTTGTCCCATGGACTGGGAGGTCCTGGTTCAATTCCCAGTCAGGGCACATGCCGGAGTTTCAGGCTCGATTCCAAGTAGGGGGCATGCAGGAGGCGGCTGATTGATGTTTCTCTCTCATTGATGTTTCTCTCTCTCTAAAAAATCAGTAAGAACATTTTTTAAAAGTTTAAATATTATATTAAGTTGTAAGATTTTCTGTGGTAATTTATTTTATTGATCCCATTACAATGCTGGACATGATATTTAAAATTCATGGGTTATCTGGAAACCTGAATATTGCTTTCATTTTAAAAAACAATTTCAGTGGTAAATGCTTCAGTGGAGCAAATTTTCTCCAAATCGAAATCAATGAACTAGACTCTTAGAACTACAATGATTTAAGAAAGGTGTTTTTGTTTTTTTTTTTTTGTTTGTTTGTTTGTTTTTTATCCTCATCCGAGGACATTTTTCCATTTTTTGTACAGATAGAGTGGGAGGGAGAGAGAGGAAGGGAGAGAGAGAGAGAAACATCGACATGAAGGGACACATCGAGTGGCTGCCACCCGCACGACCAACCAGGGCCGGGGACAAACTGCAACCGAAGTACGTGCCCTTAGCGGGGACCGAACCCGGGTCTCTCCGGACCGCAGGCCGACGCTCTAACCGCTGAGCCAAACTGGCCAGGGCTAAGAAAGGTGTTTTGACTTGACATTAAGACTATCATTTTGATTATAACAACATAGCTAAAATAAAGTTGAGAAAAATAAATTTAGGAAAAAATAAAGATAATTTATGAATTGCCTGTCTTTATAATATTACCCACCCAGACATCACCAGCCCATCATCAGAACAAACATGTTAAAATGACTAAATTCAGCCATCTTTGACATTTGATCATATGAAAACCATAGCTTCACACTTAGTTTTCTGTTTCATTTGTATGACAATATAATTGTCAGGTGAGAGTAGAATGCTCTTGGACACCTTATTTTATAACTTTTAAACATTTAGGTATATACCATATGGGCCTCCATTTAGTCCTCGTGTACCATTGCACAAATGTTAGTGCCTGGCCAGAGACTGGGCGCTGGGATGCAGTAGACCCCCCGCCCCGCTGTGTGTGTGGGGGGGTGGGGGGTGGAGGACCGCGCCCCCGCCGCCCACCTCCACCGGGATTGGCTGTCACAGGCTGGTGGGCGGCCCGGAAACAGGACGAAGTGGGGGTCCAGGCACCGGGTGCGTGGGGTTTCAGGTGCTCAGGGCCAAAGTGCTGCTGGCCGGTCTCCAGCCACGCTCTCGCTGCGACTCAGACGGAGTTTCCCGTCCCCTTTCCAGACCCGCTGGTCCTCTCCAGCTTTCCCGCGACCCCGTGCTCAGGCCCTTTTGGAGGAAGGGCCTCGTGGGTGCCCGAACAGACTCGGCGCGTTGGCCCGGAGGGCTGGGCGAGGGGCGCGGGCCGGCGCACGCGGGCTGCAGGAAGCGGGGGCGACGGCCGCGTGGGTCCCGGCTCCGCAGGGTTGGAGGCACCCGGAAACGGATTCGGCTGCGGTGCCCGCGCGAGCCGGCGTCTCGGAGCGCGCGGGAGGCGCGGGCGGGCGGGCGGCCCGGCGGCTGCTGAGTAATCCCCCGCGGCGGCGGGAGGCGGCGGCCCGGACGCCCACGCTCCCTGCCGCGCTGCAGCGGGACCGGCTCCTCCCTCCCTCCCGCCTCGCCCCGCCCCGCCCCCGCCGCCCGGCTGCGCGGCGCTCTGGACAGGTAAAGCCGGACCCCGGGCGCGCGCGGGGCCGCACAGCTGCCACCCGACCTCGCCTCGGCCCTGCGTAGAGCCTCGCGCGCCCATGGCCGGCTCCGAGCAGCAGCGGCCGCGACGGCGGGACGAAGGAGACTCGGCCGCGGCGGCCGCGGAGCCCCTGCAGGACGCCGAGCTGGCACTGGCCGGCATCAACATGCTGCTCAACAACGGCTTTAGGGAGTCCGACCAGCTTTTCAAACAATACAGGTGACCGACGCGCCCTGCTCCTCCGCCCCGGCTCCGCGCCCCTGGGTTCCGTCTTACGAGCTTCGATCTGCGGCTGGCCCTCCGCCTCCCGTTGGTCACTAATCCCTGACCCCGGTCCCCATGTCGTCTCCCTCGGCCAGAGCTGCAGCCAGCTTCTGCGCCTTTGCCGTATCGCCCCATTCCACCCCCACTCGGTTGTCCTTTCTCTTCCCGGGACCCGCCACGCGACCTCCGCGCGCTCCCGCAGTGTCCCCTCACTTTATGCCGCGTCTCGCCCTCCTAGGGGGGCGCCCAGTGTTGATCGCTGCTCTGTCGCGGGTCGCCCTCCCTCCGCCGGAGCCCGCTGTCTTTGGGACCTGCGACCGGATGCGATTTGAGGCAGCACCGAGCCTTGGACTTGCAGTGTGGTGACTCCAGCTCGTGTGCTGCCCAAGCAGCCTTTGTGGCACGGAGCACACCAGCTGCAGGGTGCCTCTTTCTTGTGCCTCGCGTCACTTTGCATCATTGTGCATGCCAAACGCTTTTATTGTTTGCAAACAGATAATGTATAATTGCCTTGCCATGCAGGAATTAAAAAACTCAACCCAACTCTGCTCACTCACCTCTCTGCCTGTCTTCTAAAACTCAGCCTTCAAACGAGTTCCTAATGCCTTTCAAGCGAGCATATATTTGTTGTGGATTTCTCTAACTTAAAGGGAGAAGAAAATGGAGGGATTTTTAAATATATGTGGGAGTGGAAGGAAGAATATGTGCGTTGAGCTAATTATTTTTTATTCGTCTTTTAAAAAATGAAGGAAAGAACTGAAACCTGGTAGCTTTCTCGTGAGTGTGGGAGGAGCCTTCATTTTTATTGGGGACAAGAAGCATCTGCTTTCTTTAGGAAGCAAGTTTGTGATTTGCCCTTTGAATGTTGACAAGACTAAAGGATGTTGATTAGCTGCTTCTCTGTAACTGTTTAAGGGTCATATGCTTCACACTTTTGGAGCCGCTGGTTTGGTAGGAATGAGAGGAAAGATGTGCAGCTGTGATTGAGAGCCAGCCTGCAAGAAAATGAGAGAGGGTGAGAGACAGATGCCTGCAGATTTTCAGACCTCTTAGAAGGGTGGCTTCTGCCGGTTGAAGCTTCTGCAGTCGTAATGGCAAAGCAAATAGCTCACAACCGTAAACTTTTCGCTGAAGACATTTTGCTTTCAAATACGTTTTTTTCTTTAACTTGAAAAATTCTCAGCTTTACTCAGAACATTTTATTTTTAAAGCATACAGTCTGATTGCAAGTCAGAATTTTATCAAGGCTGTTTGTTCATGGAGAATAGATTTAAAGACACGTTTTCCACAGTCTATAGTTTTTTTAGTCCTCTGAGAATATATGTCATGAAGAAAAGAATAACATTTAAATATTTCATATACTGTGCTCTGACTTTTTTTTTTTTGACTACCAGTTTGTGTTGTATGAGAGAAGGCTGGAGAAAGTCTTAGTCAAGTTTACTCTCTCGTTGCTGATCAAGAAACGCTGTTTGCATGTCTCGATACTACTTGCTTTGTTACTTATTTTTAATGATCATTTTTTTCTGAACTGCTTTAGTATAGTACTTAATTATGACTCCCTGGTTCTTGTATACCGAAAGCATGAAATAACACCATTTTTGCTGTTATATTTTATTGAGACAGTTTTGTGTAGTGATAATAGAGGGCAGATTGTGAGTTATAGGAAAACTATTTTCTCAGTAGCAACAGAGATGCACCTTGAAAGGTGTTCTCTGTGGGTGAGTCTGTTGGTGAAGGAGGGGGAGGGTGTCCATGGAGGATTTACATTTTATAGATAGGAGCGAGCTATCTGCTTGTATTTTATTTTTCAGTTACAGTTGACATATTAGGTGTACAATATAGTGATTAGACATATTAGGTGTACGAAATAGTGATTAGACATTTATATACCTTATGAAGGGATCACCCTGATAAGCCTAGAACCCATCTGACACCATACATAGTTACTACAATATTATTGACTACATTCTCTATGCTGTACTTGTCTGCTTGTATTTTGAAATGAGAACTGAAAGATAAAGAAGGAAACAAAATATTGTATCTGTTCTCTGCCAAGTGCAGTGCTAGGCACATTTCCTTATATTCTCAGTATTCTAGTGGCAACTCTAGTGAGGTGTGTTTTGTCCATGGCAATTTTATAAAGGACTTAATGTTTCCATACTTATCATGGACCATAGGCACTGTGGTTCTAAATCAAGGGCTCTTTTCATTATACCATTCCGCCTGTCTCCCTAAATTGATTAGGTTTTGTAATTTGCCCTACAACTTTGTTTTTCAGCAACTATTTTTGCTACTTTTGTAGGGGCCCACTTGGGTTTCTCAGTTTGTTTCCTTGTGTAGAATGAGAGTAGCACAAATCATAGTGTGGTGGTTAGAATGAAAAGAAATAATCCATGGTAGCTGGCACAATGTAAGAACCCAGTAAACACTAGCCAGCTTTTGTACTTGATGCCTTCCCTACAATTATGTTTTCTCCTTGATGATATAGTTTGAGTAGAAGATAAAACATCCCCTGTGTCCCTGGCCAGTTTGGCTTAGTGGTTGGAGCATCGGCCTTCGGTCCAAAGAGACCCGAGTTCGGTTCCCGCTAAGAGCACATACCTCGGTTGCAGTTTGTCCCCGGCCCTGGTTGGGTTGTGCGGGTGGCAGGCACTCGATGCATCCCTTTCACGTCGATGTTTCTCTCTCTCTCTTCCTCCCACTCTATCTGAACAAAAAAATGGAAAAAAGTCCTCAGGTGAGGATAAAAAAATAAATAAATCCCGTGTGAAGGTTGCTTTGGTATTTAAACTTAGCCTCACATATTGCATTTGAAAGATTTAGATCCTGTTATGCATTAGAAACTTCTCTTCCTGGTCCAAAGTTGAAAGGCCTGCTGCAAAACTCAGCAGGGGCTTCATCAGAAGGGTTTGAGGAACACCTCTAGCTCAGTTGACTGACCAGAGAGCAATTGGTTATCTTCTTTCTTAGGATTGTTTTGTCAAAACCACCCTTCCCATACTAGTAAACCTTCCAGGATCTTATTGTTAAACTTTAAGAATAGAAATATTTTGTATCTAGAGTAACAAGAACATTTTTTTTTTTTTTTTTTTTTTTGGTACGTGCCCCTAGCGGGAACCGAACCCAGGACTCTCTGGTCCTCAGGCCGATGCTCCAACCACTGAGCCAAACTGGCCAGGGCACAAGAACATTTTTATTAAAAGAATTTTCTCATGCCACATTACTAGGATGATAAAGTTTCATCAACAGCTACCTGATAAGAAATGGTTACTTTATAGAAGCAGATTATCTTGAAGGCCATTCTGAATTAGTGGAAGGTCTGGATTGTGTAACTCAGACTTAGCACATATAGAAAGTAGAAATATATGCATTAGTAGAGGCTTTCTTTTGAGATATAAAATGTGCCATAGTTGGGATGTCAAAACATAGCCCTGACCGGTCACTTAGTGGTTGGAGCATTGGCCCAGGGACCAAGGGGTTGCAGGTTCAATTCCCAGTCAAGGGCACGTAACTGGGTTGCAGGCTTGATTCCAGCCCCGGTCGGGGACGTGTGGGAGGCAACCAATCCCTGTGTCTCTCTAACATTGATATCTCTCTCTCTCTCCTTTTCCCTCTCCCTCCCTTCCACTCTATCTTAAAAAAACAAACAAACATAGCTGCTACTTTCATTGTAACTATAGTAGTAATGCAATAGGTTGTTGCTGAACCACAGCATGCACTTGGCAATATGTTCCCAAAGGTTGGGACAGATTGGTGCTGCTTTGGGACCTTTCTGCTTTGGACCCAAGTTCATGATATTGATCACCTGAAACCAAATTCCTATTCCTGGTCTTGGTCTTGGAGCTTAGTGCTCTAATCCAACAGTGTTCACCCCTCCTCCTACACACACTGGCTGGCACTCCTGTCTGATGTTCCCATGTGTGACACACACTCAGACCTTTAGGTACTCAGGCCCAGTATAAGATAGGCTGTGGTTATGTGCACAGACAGGCACTTGATGTTTAGGTGTTGCAGTATGGGGAGGCTGGGAAACATATCCATGGCCTGTAACAGTGGAGAGAAGCAGCTTGCAGCCCAGCTGAGAATCATAATGGGGTGGGAGTGAGTGAGTCTCATTAGAAGGAGTTGGGAGGGATGGGGAAGGGGAGAAGTAGAATGTGAGCGGTGGTGAGGTGGAAATGAAACCTAGAAGAATAAACAATGGAAAAGCCACACGGAGACATGAAATGGCATCTGGAGCAGAGAGATGAGACTTGCAAGTTGATCAGTGGCTCATTATGCACTTGTTCTTTTCTCAGATCCAGGGCTTGGTCCATGTTTCCGTGAGTCAGTGCTGCTTTTCAGGGTTACTTTGCTGCTGGGTGTTTGGTGAATTCACTGTTTAAGATGACCATTGTCTCTCACAGTGTGGCCCTCACGTCCATAATTAGCTCTAGGCTCCTTGAGACCTCGGGATCCTAATATCACCCTCTTTCTCATTTTGGTTTGAAATATTACTGTATTTTTTAGTTGGGACTAGCAGTAGAGGTGACACATACTGGGCTATGAGGAAGAGGGGACGTTTGGAGCTCCTGGCCAGAATGATCTGTATAGTTCGTATTTCCTCAGGCTTGACATTTACTCTCCCTGCATCCCTGGAGGCCACCATCTCCACCTCCTGCTTTAACTCCTGGCATTCTTTCAACCTTAAAAAACCTATAGTTCTTAGCCCTGCCAACATTGCCAACAATTTCTGCCTATAGATATTAATAAAGTCATATTGGGTCATTGTCAGCTAAAACAAGCGTGTGATGGTTATAATGAATGTTCATTGAGAAATTGCATGAATATGATACAGAATTAGTACATTGTTGGCAGTTTCTTTCTCATTGTATTTTAAATGGTAAAAATGGCCAAAAAAAATGTATTAAAAGCCAGATAAATTCATGGTAAGTAATATATGTATATTTAAAATA